CTAGGATTATGTGTGTAAATTCATATCTCAATTAACCAATGATACTTGTTTATTTATCGCCTATTAATTTTTTCCTCAGTAACTTAATTCGGTTATATGATTATATTTTATTGTAGTGACTTTATTACTTGGATTTTTTGTATGGTTTACAAATACTTGTTCGGGTTCCGGATGTTTGTGTATAATTAATGAATGTAAACTGCCTCCTCGATTCAGGAGTAAATCCGAGTGTGGACGGTTTATTAAAAAAATTATTTCGTCTAAAAGGTTGACTGTACTCATCATCATCATCATCATCATTACAGCCCTTCACAAGTCCACTGCTGAACATAGGCCTCCCCCAAAGAATGCCACAAAGCACGGTCCTGAGCCACCTGCATCCATCGACTTCCTGCATATCTTACCAGGTCGTAACTCCATCTAGTGGGGGGACGCCCTACACTTCGCCTGCCGGTACGAGGCTGCCACTCGAGAACCTTTCTTCCCCATCGGTTGTCGGTTCTTCGAGCTATATGGCCGGCCCATTGCCACTTCAGCTTACTAATCCGTTGGGCTATGTCGGTCACTCTAGTTCTACTGCGGATATCCTCATTTCTGAGTTTATCACGCAGAGAAACTCCGAGCATAGCCCTCTCCATAGCTCGCTGAGCGACCTTGAGCTTCCTTATCCGGCAAGCAGTGAAGGACCACGTCTCAGTTCCGTATGTCATCACTGGCAACACGCACTGGGTGTACAGTCTCGTTTTCAAGTTTTGAGGTATACCTGACGAGAAGATGTGCCGTAATTTCCCGAACGCTGCCCAACCGAGTTGAATCCGTCGATTGACCTCTCGGTCGAAGTTGGACTTACCTAGTCGGACTATTTGTCCCAGGTAAACATACTCGTCAACAACTTCGAGCTTAGTGTTCCCAACAACTACCGGCATAGGTGTGACATGGACATTAAACATGATCTTTGTTTTGTCCATGTTCATCTTAAGACCTATCTGTTGGGAAACACTATTGAGGTCATTGAGCATAGTGCTTAGGTCCTCCAGCGATTCTGCCATAAGGACTATATCGTCGACAAATCGAAGGTGAGTGATGTACTCGCCATTGATGTTGATACCGTATCCTTTCCAGTCCAGAAGCTTGAAAACATCTTCCAATGCAGCGGTGAAGAGTTTCGGGGATATGACGTCACCCTGTCTTACACCTCTCTGCAATTGGATAGGTTTCGTACTCTGGTTCTGTACTCGGATAGCCATCGTAGCCCTACTGTACAAGCACTTCAACACTTCGATATACCGACAGTCAACTTGGCATCGCTGAAGGGACTGCAGCACCGCCCAAATTTCGACGGAATCAATGGCTTTCTCATAGTCCACATACGCCAGACATAGTGGCAAATTGTACTCCTCGGACTTCTGTACAATTTGCCGAAGGGACTGTACTCGATATATTATAATTTTATGTACAAAAGTAATTAAGTAAACTTTGGAGTAAAACTGCTTTAGGCGCGAATTGAGTGTATCTCAGTACCCTTTATGGATGTAACTTAAAAATTATCTATAGTCCATTTATGCAGTTTTCGAATTTTAAGCCAGTGACTAACTATAGTATAACGCGAGTGTACGTTATATAGTATTTTTAAGACATTGCACATAACTCTTAAATTTATTTTTATTCTATTTCTTATTTTATTGATAAATATTTTATTAATAAGAAATAATTATAAATAAAAAATAACAATAGAAATAAATGATTTACAGAAATAAATAGGTATTAAAATTGATTACTATTATTATATTATGTATTAACTTTAACCGCGCCGGTTACACGCAAATATATTTTCATGTAACCGGCGGCAGGCGGTGTTCTGCCTTTTTGGTGTGATGAGTTTCACTCCGGACTTTTTACATGTTGAATATAAAATTTATTAATAACTCGACCATACCATCTATCCAAAAATTTTAATTTCCTATTTTTGTCCTAATCCAACAATTGTTGTAAATATGAGTCATTTTGGTCAAGTTACTAAAAAACGCCCCAACAACTGTATAATATGCACAAAGATTAGTATCTGTATCATTAATTGGATTTTTTTGTGATAAATGGAGCTCTTATTAGCTTGTAATAGTATGCCTCAATGCTAACTAAATACTGTGGAAGTTTCCTTGTGGTATGGAGTCCTTATATCGATTACACTCTCATTGTCCCTGTCTAAACTATCAAAACAATGTTCGAAATAGGCCTTTGTCATGTATAATGATAAGCATGCCTTTAGAATTCACATCATTTTGGTTGAGGCGATCAGATTAAACTATTAGGAGATGTGTAGTGGGCAACTTTTGAACCCTATTGGCGTCACGAGATATGGAGTCGATCGTCGGAAGTAAATTTGTATACGTGTGTCAGTTTCCGCAAGTAGAAATCCTCCATAATATATTATGTTTACTCATAAATTATACTTATTTTATTTTATTAAAATTGCAGTACAAAATAAACTCAGTCCACCCGATAGTAAGTTTTATCGTCAAAACTATTATATTTAGAATAAAATATAATAGTTTCCGTGGCGCAGTGGCTTAGCAATGAGTTGCTGCGCTAAGGCCCGCGGGTTCGAATCCCGCACGGAACAAGTGTTTGTATGGGCTACAAGTAATTGTTCCGGGTTAGTTTGTTTGTCCATGTGAAATTTATGTATGTAAACTACCCCTACGATACGAGTTGAGGTAAGGTTTTAAAAAAAGAAAAGAAGAGAAGAAGATAGTAAGTGGCCAATGTTCCCAATAAAAATAAATAGACTCCTGCAAACAACCTCGAATAAAGAATTGCAAAAACAGCCTGTAATTCTACTGGCTCTCTGTACACTTCGAATCGGAACACAGCAATGCATGCACTGCTATTTGGCGACAGAAATAGATATGAGGAAACCACCAGCCCTGATGTACTCTTGGACAGAAAAGGACTACTACCACTTAGTAGAGTTTTGGTACTGGACTTACAAAAATATAAAATATTCCACTTAACATTAAAAAATAAAATGAAAAGCAAAGCGTTATAAAGTTCATCAAATGCATGGGTTTACAAATTTTGTTATTTAAAAAACTCTTTAAACTAAAGCTTACATTTATCACTGAACAACGTGGTTTGTCTTAATAACCCGCTACAAAGGTGGTCGGGGTAAACAACGCTTGCTTATTGCTACTCCACAATCCGCAATAACCGCGACAGCAACAATAGGGTAGTCTTGATTGCGACTACCGCGCAAATGTATTGTGCTCATTATAAGGCGCAGATGTCAAATAACGCATAGAAGTTAAACGTTTTTGTAATTGGCCCTAACGAGTTTTTTTACTGTTTCAGGTAAGGCTGACAACGTAACTGCGATTAGTCTGTACTGGTATGTAGTAAAGGCGTGTATGACAAGATTCTGTATTGTCATCTAGGTTAATAGATATGTTGACTTGTGTCCGATTCTCATATTCATGAAACATTTCTATCCGTTTTATGTATGGACCAAGTGATTAATAGTGTCCTGACAGTTTGAAAATGCCCATTACGAGTATGCAATATGATAAAATCTATTGAAATAATTAAATTGACTGGGTTTTAATGAATAAAATCTGTTACTTATTGGGCAAAGTTATAAAGAGACTGGTTTGGTTATGTTTGGTTATGTCCAGACAATGTGTTAATAATGAAGTTTAAATCAGTATTTATTGCGTAGCCCGATTTGACTTGTCAATTCATATTTCCGAGGCATTATAAATAGTGCCCTAATTGATCACTTGCTTCATAACATCTATACGTTGTCCAAGTAAAAGCAGTTTAAAACTATTCATACGGCGTCTAGGACAATTTTCGTCGTTCGTCAATTTTTGAACCAGTATTTTAATACAAAAATGGTTAAACAAAAAAGTATAGAAAAATTCATAGAGTCTTACCGAAGCACTTATGCGGTCCTATTACAATACGTGGGTTATTGCTAGTTTCGGGTAAAAAAAAAGCTTTGTCAAGAAAGAAGCCCCTTAGTCGTGAGGCCAGTCTTCGCGAAATTTTACATTTGCTGTGAAATTATAAACTACATTTTAGTTCACATATTTTTCACTTCTTAATTCTCAGACTTTCTGAAATGAACATTTTGATATTTAAAATCTATTCTACAATTTTAACCCCCATGGATTAAGCTACTGATAAATAATTTTTTGGTTGTAATGACATGTATTTCAGGTTTTAAGTCGGTCTGTCAGTTAAATACCAGTCGTGTTTTGTAAATGATACCAAGTCATCAGTCAGTAGAAGTAACATGTCATTTCTCTGTTATTCTTTTATGGAGGTGAACGCATTTAGCCGTTGATTGATGTGACCCGTGTGGCTTAACTGGAATTCAACTCGTAATGCCGAATCACTCGCTACAGTTCATTGAATTTTAATTCAATGTTTTCCAAAGATTGTCGTTGTTTGATAAGCTTAATGACACATGCGTTTGCTAATTTAATAAATAAATAAATTGTGATAAACTTCGGTCGTATGGACTTGTTTAGCTAACAAACTTAATACCAAACTTTCTAAGTAAATTTAGTTCTTTCTGTTCTCCCTAGATGCTGTTGTCGCCGAGTTAATCACGGTATCACTTGCATTTTTTCATTATGATGTATAGTTGAACAATCTTTGCCTCCTTGAGTTTTTCTATAATACAGTGTAGTGGTATGTGAGTAAAACCCTAATGATAAAGTGTGAGTATTTCATTAACCAAATGGTCCTTCGAGCCGGATTAACTGTAAGTAAAGTACATGTGTCAAACATAGTGCAATAACAGTGCGTCAAAGATTTGTGATATTTCAAAGTGCAAAAATAAAAAAAGAATAGACAATTTCGCGTAATAAAAAGACTTAGAAATGTTTGAGTGAAAAAAGACTTAGTTGGATTTGTGATAAAAAGACTGAAAAAATTTCGCGACGATATTTGTCTAAAATAACCTTTTCATCAGTTTACATTTCCGAATATTATTCAATATGGCGGATCAACTTGCAAAACAACATGTAGCTATTATGATTCCAAATTCAACAAAAACCGGAAAATTACTTACAAATACTAAGAAATGTTCAAAGGATAAACGAACAAGAGGTTATTTAGAAACGCGCATGGAGACATTACTTGATTATTGGGCTTGTTACACAAAAAGTTATGATTTGCTTACTGTATCCATGGACAGTGAGACATTGAAAACTAAATATGATTGCGATATGGATGATAACTTTGAACAAACAGAGGAACATTATTTGGATTTAAAGACTTGGCCTAAGGATAAGTTTTATGATATTACACCAATGAGTGAATCTTCAAAATCTGACACAACTTCAGAACTTCCTAAACTTAGACCAAAGCTACCACCAATAGCTATATCACAATTTTCTGGTAATTATAATCAGTGGATGAGCTTCAGAGCTCTATTTCTTTCCTTGATACATTGTGACGACCGCTTGTCTAAAATCGAAGCCGAACAGTTACTCAAAAATTATTCTTTAACTGTAGCGAACTATGATGATGCATGGATAAAACTAAATGAAAGATATGAGAATAAGCTTGTGATTTTGAATAATATTCTAAGTCGATTTTTAACTCCGAAAAAACTAACAACTGAATCAGCAAAAGGTGTCAAAGATTCATTGGACACTACTAGCCAATGTCTCACATCTCTAAAAAAATTTGAAGATTGATTTGTGAAACGCCATAGTCGTTCATATTCTAGTCTTAAAGTTAGATATTGAATCTCACAAGCTTTGGGAACAGTCGTTAAAAAGCTTAACAAATATTCCCACATATTATCTAAAGTTGATGTGGACTACCGGAGAATTCTATCGCGAGAATCTCCAACACAACCGATACAGGAATATAGACTACCGTAACTTACGAAACATCTTGTGCGCCATTCTTAGCTATTCGTACGCTTCACCTGCTTGCTGAAGATGAAAAACTTGATTTTCTTGTAGAATCTGTTATATGGAAAAATAACCTGTACATGAACAATTTAATGACTGGTGCGTCTAATGAAGAAGATGCTGTTCTCTTACAAAAAACGCTTACTGAATTGCTATCTTGCGGTGGTTTCCCTTTGCACAAATGGGCATCTAACAGTAAATTAGTGTTATCACAAGTTCCTGGTCGTGATAAAATATCACAAAACGCAATAAATATAAAGGTTGAAGATACTCTGAAATCTTTGGGTATCACTTGGAACTCACAAACAGATAGTTTTGAATTAAATATAAACATGAATTTTACCGATGATAATCTCACGAAACGAAATTTTCTGTCTACAATTGCAAAAACCTTCGACTCTCTAGGTTGGCTAACACCTGAAATAATCTTACTTAAAATTTTTATACAAAAGTTGTGGTTAGCTTGCTTAGCTTGGGACGAAGAACTTCCTCGTGACCTGAAAAATGAATGAATAACTTACCTCGAACGTTTTGCGCACTCTGAACCCATTCAGTTCCCACGATGGCTTGCAGCTACTGACAGCACAATTAGACAAGAACTGCAATGGATTCAGTGATGCTTCCTGTGCCGCTTATGCTGTAGTGGTGTATCTCAGAGTTTGGAAAAATTATGTAGTTAAAGTATGTCCGGTTATGGATAAATCTAAAGTTGCTCCCGTCAAACAAATTTCACTTCCCCGTCTCGAGCTCTGTGGTGCAGTTCTCTTGGCGAAAGTGATACTTGTTAATGCCATACTAAATATCGACCATAGTTTTGACTTGGCTGCGTAAGACACCTAAAACATGAACCACATTTGTTGCTAATCGCACTTCAGCGATTTTGACATTCACAAATAGTAACCAATGGCATCATGTTAGTTCGGTGTATAATCTGGCTGATTTAGCTTCCCGTGGAGTATTTGCATCCGATTTGCAACAGTCTGAACAATGGTAGAATGGCCCACAATTTTACAGAACCAAGCAACAGATTTAGAAATGAAGGTTAAAACTAAAGTACAGATAAACATTAATGTTTTGAAAATGATACTGTTATTTCTTACCTAAAACTATACTCGACACTTTCGAAACTGGTACATGTAACTGCTTATTATTTACGTTTTATAAAACTGTGTAAACTTAAAATATATAGGAGATCGTTTGATGAACCCGTTTATCTGGGTCCAGATGAGCTTGAAGATGCTCTAAATAGATGCATTAAGATGTTTCAATCAGTTTCGTTCAGTGATGAAATTTCTCGATTAAAAAAGATTTTGCCGGACCTTTTACAATGAAATTGTACTCTGGTAGATGTAAAAAAAACTGTAACGTTTATGTTTGTCCGTCTACGTGTCCTATGTGTCCACCGTCACAAAAGTCATTGATCTAGAATTGGTAACTGATCTCACTTCAGCTGCATTCATAGCTGCTTTTCGACGCTTCACTGCTCGCCGTGGTTTACTTACTGCATGGAAATTTGGAGTGATCATGGTACTAATTTTGTGGCCGCGGCCCGTGAACTAGATCTTGCTTTTATAGATGCAAAACCTGCAATTCTTTCTGAAATTGCTGAACTACCAGCTAATGATCAAACTCACTGGAACTTTATACCCCCTAGCGCACCTCACTTCGGGGGACTTTGGGAATCTGAAGTGAAGAGCGTTAAAGGACACTTGAAACGCGTAATTGGACAAACGTTACTGATTTACGAGGAGTTAGTTATCTACTCTTTTAACCCAAGTCGAAGCTTGTGTCAACTCTCGTCTACTTACCGTAGTAAATTCTACTCTTGATGAATCTCCCTTAACGCCTGGGCATTTTCTGGTTGGGGAACCATTGATTAGTATCCCAAAACCATCTTTGAATGATGTTAAAGTCAGCTCTTTACATCGGTGGCATATTTTTCAACGTCTGGTGCAGTGTTTGTGAGAACGTTGCAACATCGTTATAAATGAAACAAGAGTCAGCCAGAACTTGCTACAGTTACTTTCGTGTTGGTAAAAGATGATAAACTTCCTCCGGGAGAGTGGCTTTTGGGACGAATCATTCGGAATCACCCAGGCGCAGATGGCGTTACAAGAGTCGTGTCTTTACAATACAAGGATAAGATTTTTAAGAGGCCTATCGCAAAATTGTGCCCTCTGCCCCTGAATGATGCTGACTAGTTATAAGCATTTAGTTTGTTTTGGTCTCTTGTTTTTATTTATTTTATTTTCCCTTTTTCAAAAGACTGTAATCGTCTTTGGGCGGCGGAATGTTTAGCTAACAAACTTAATACCAAATTAAATATACTTTTTTATTTAAGTTAGGGTGACAAATGAGCACACAGTCTGCCAAGTGGTGAATGCTCTAGCCCATAAACACGAGATGCGTTATCACCTCATGAGACGTTATGTGGAATGCCTCCTTACCAGTAAATAGTGGTCTCCGGCGTAGTGAGCGCGTGAGAATGAGCAAATGTTATATAAGTTATGCATGTTAGTTGTGCATTAATGAAAAGACGAATCCAGCTGTAGAATTAAAAAAACTATTAAAGAAGAAAGAATAATTGTTTTAATAATGATCTTTATGAATACACAATTTCCATACGTGTTACATACTAATATGCGATTTAAAACGGGCAGTACTGAAAACATGGATACCGAACCGCTCGGCTTAGTCCTAATAACCGTAATAAACATCAACGGTAACGAGCAATAGGCAGCGATTCGTGCTGATGCTACACTGTTTTTATACACGACCGGTACATGGGAAAGCTTTCTAATTGCCGGAACAATGCCGAGCCGGTTATTTGCCAGCGGCATTGTTTTTGTCTGCGCCGGTTCATTTTAACCCCACCTTCCCCAAACCAGGAGATTAATGGAATTTGAATACGCGTAGCCTTTGTGCTCAGTTTTACGCGTAATTTAAACGTGTACCGGCCCCATGAGTTGGCATTTCCGGCAATCTTATGGGGATTTCGCAGGTGCGCGACTTCCCTTATAACTTTAGTGAAAATCACGTATAACTGTAGAGAAAAACCTTATTGTGTGTCTACTGTGGATAAGCTTTTTTCTTGCAAGTCACTGTTGACGGGGAGGAGATATTACTTATCATCTGAATTCTTTACTTCCATTGTTAATAATATAGAATCTTTTACTAGGCATTCAGTTATTTTTTGTAAATTACGGTGCTAAAATTCGGTTAGACAGCTGTGTTATTTTGTAAGGTTTTAGTTATTTACCTCAATAAATATTGTGGAAATATGTTGACAGCGGTGGCCCTCGGTTCCCGCGTTCAATAAGCGCTGTATGTACTCAAAACACTATCAATCATCCTACTGCGCCTAGACACACCGAGGAATTTTATTTGTTTTATTGGGGTGCTATTGATTTTGGGAGGAAACACTACACGTGGATACGCGTTTCAATAATTTTATGTTATATTTGATATTGTAGTTAGTATGATTTTGAGCATGAAGACAACTTCCGAAACTTCTGCAAAGTCCTAAACTAAACCCTAGGTTCAATATATTATAAGGCAACAATTGTCTGATCTCGTGTGTACCGTAAGTTGACTGTGTCTAACACTATATCGCTTTTTTTAGACTAAAGGTGACAAACAAGCACACAGTCTACCTGATGGTAAGTGGATGCTGTTGCCTATAGACTTCTACATTTATCTTCGATTAAGAATCAAAATCCAGATGCGATGTCACCTCTGAGGACTAAGATGGAATGCCTCGTTCCCAGTAAAAAGGGTCTCCGATTCTCTACACTCAATATACGAAACACAGCAGCATTAAGTGATATATAGCAGCGGAATACCCAACCAAAATAGTTTGATTTAGTTTGGCTATTTTACCTTGCTTAGCTGGTATAATTTGCGCTGGTCGCAAATGGAAAACTGGTTCAGCTATGCGAGCTAAGATTAAACTAAGTTAGTTTAGTTTGCGGTGAACGTTCGGCTTAATAGTCAGATACGACTAATGAGTAACTAAGTAACGTGAACGTCACACACCTATAACGCTCATGTCAAGAAATAATCATGAGTGAGATTGAGCATTAACGCAGAACTAAGAAAATCAATCAGTTAGATCGACTTCTGTTGTCAAATGTTGCGAATCCATTAACATAATTGAGCGTCTCGTATCCGGGACACTTCACGGTGCGGATCGAAAACGTCTTTGAAGGCGCATCGTTGTAATGAGGGACACTGGATCCCTCCCCATCTACCCTAATGCATATTTACAATAAGTTCCACATTCCACTACAAGCTTCATTGCCCCTTCAGGATGATTAATTTAGTCGTCCCGTATGACTACCGGCCATTTTACGCTCCGTCGTCAGTATAAAATTGCAATAAGTCGATGTCATTACATAATATCGGATGTAAAGCCAAATGTCGAATACTCCTTTTCGGCGAATTTCCTCAATTTCATTGTAGAGGCTTTACTCCTACAATATGATATTTTTTCGGCTTCTTTGGTATATGGTCATGGTTCCGTAAAAAAAAAATCTTAAAAATTATAGCTTATAATTTTTGTAACACTCTATTGCCATTTGCCAACATTACTAAACGCTTAAGGAAAGAATATACAACACAATATGAAAAAATACTCCCACCCTTGTAAATTCTTTAAATAATGCAAACAACAATCTGAAAAGTAGCTCACAATGTACACTTTCCATTAAAGTTATAAAACATTTTATTATCGAAACTTTAGAGAGTATAAGGAAAAAATCAGTACAGTGGAATCAAAA